TGATTCTGTATGTAAGTCAGAACTGGCGGTCAGTTTCAGCAGCGGCTGAATCTGGACGCCAGTTCCGACTTACATACAGATTCAACGTAAGAACAAACCTACAGTCCCTATCTTGAACGTAACCCGGGGACTGCCTGTATTTATTTCAAAATAACTATTTCAAAATAAGACATTTCGAAATAACACTGTAGGGTAGACATACCCTTTCTGAGCACAACAGGAGCTCACCTTCAGCACCAGCAGTAGAGGCTGGGGCTGAAAGATTTGAGTCCTACCTGAGAACCTAGCACATCCATCTCTTACTCTGCAAACACACAAACACATTATTCTAAGAATGAGTGGTCCCATGACTTCTATCGGATTACAGTGTAACACATACCTGTTTGTAGGGTGAGAGCTGTATGTGGCAACAGTTCACTCCAGGAATATCCTATTTTATTTTTGTGAACGCTCTGGTGACCTTTTGCTTACATAGGGCTTTGGAAATCCCTTGGGATGACAGCCCCCATTCGGAAGATTAGCTACTCCCCAAGCTCCATCCCAAGCCTATCCTCCCATCACTTTTACACCAAAGTGCCCAAGAGCCCGCGTTCAAGAACATACCTACCCCCTTTTTTTCCTATGGCCCATGACAGCGGGGCAGGAAACTGAGAAGTTGAAAATCAGTATGTAATACACCTAATCCAGCATCCTACAGATGTATTCCATGCAGTTCAGCTAGATCAGGTCTGTTCTACAGACCATCATTACTATAAACGGTATTGGATCAGCTACCTTGGAAATCTGGGCCTTACCTTACCTTTGTCCAGAAATATTTGCCAAAAGGAAAACTTAATGCTAAAGACAGAGACAAAGCAAGAGGATTGCACTACAGGGGGTGCAAACAGCAAACCTACTCAAGACCCCCATTATCAAGCACTTATCCTTCCCGCATCCAGGCCCAGACCCCTTCTGCCAACCATCTGCTTTCTGTAGTTCAGCATCTTCTGTCAGAGACAGGAAACACAGCCTGAGCAAAGAGTGAGTTATCCAATAGCCAACATTCCAGTGCTTGTATAACAGAGGCACCTGCTGGGTGTGGTTCACTGTCCCGTGTAGTGGCACTAAACCATTTATAGACAGGCAGAATGAGTGTGCACTACAGCCTTAGCTGAGAGCCAGCCTGCTTTAAGCTCAAGCTATAGTCTCTCATGCACGAAGCTCCTAAGGTTGCCAGGTGTCCGGTATTCTACTGGACAGTCCAGTATTTGCATTCTTTGTCCAGTAAAAAAAATCCAGAGAATACCAGACATGTGCAATGTCCAGTATTCTCTGATTTTTCCAGCTGCGCACCGGATGGAAGCCTGGCGTGGCTGGGGGGAGCAGCTGGAAGGTGGGGCCACGATCAGCGCTAGGAGCCTGTGATTGCGCAGAAACC